TTGTTCATAGTTTTGATCTTCATTTTCTTATGTAAGTCCCTTTAACATTTCATATAATAATGGTTTAGTTAACATGAACTCCTTCAGTTTTTTCTTTTCTATGAATTTCTTTATGTGCCTTTTGATTCTGAACAATATTATTGCTGGGTAGAGCAATCTTGGCTGTAGGTCCCTGCTTTTAATGACTTTGAGTATTTCTTGCCAGTCCTTTCTAGCCTGCTAAGTTTCTTTTGAGAAATCAGCTGACAGTCTTATGGGAACCACCCTGTAGGTAGCTGAGTGCTTTCCTCTTGCTGCTTTTAAGATTCTCTAATTTTAACCTTTAACATTTTAATTATGATGTGTCTTGGAGTGGGCCTCTTTGCATCCATCTTTTTTGGAACTCTTTGTAATTCCTGGACTTCCATGGTTATTTCTTTCATCAAATTAAGGGGGTTTTCTGCCATGGCTGGTGTGGCTCATTGGATTGAGTGCCAGCCTGCAAATCAAAGGGACTCCAGTTCGATTTCCAGTCATGGCACATGCCTGGGTTGCAGGCCATGTCCCCAGTAGGGAGCACATAAGAGGCAACCGCACATTGATATTCCTCTCCCTCTCTTTCTCTTTTTCCCCCTGTCTAAAATATATATAAATAAAATATTATTAAAAATTAAGGAAATTTTCTTTCATTACTTTTTTTCAGATAGATTTCCAATTTCTTGCTCTTTCTCTTCTCCATTTGGCACCCCTATGATATAAGTTTTGAACTGCTAGAATTTGTTGCAGATGATGCTTACACTATCCTCGGGGTTTTTTTGGGTTTTTTTTTGGTTCTTTTTTTCTTCTTGTAGTTCTAATTGGGTGTTTTTTGCCTCCTTATGTTCATGGATTTGACTCTCACCTTCATCCACTCTACCCTTGTTTCTCTCTAAATTGTTCTTTAATTAGTGTATCATTCATATCCGACTGGATCTGTTTTATGCTGTTGAGATTCTAAGTTCCTCGAGCACCCTTATAACCAGCCTTTTGACTCTGTATATGCTAGATTGCTTATCTCCACTTCTTTTAGTTCTTTTTCTGGAGTTTTATTCTGTTGTTTTATTTGGGCCCTGTGTCTTTGTCTCCTCATTTGGTAGCTTCCCTGTGTTTGTTTCTATGTATTAAGTACAGCTGCTATGATGCTCTGTCTTGGTGGTGTGGCCTAATGTAGTAGGTGTTCTGTAGTGTCCAGTAGCACAGCCTCCCCTATCACCCAAGCTGGGTACTAGAGGGGCACTTTTCACGTGGGCTGAGCATACTCTCCTCTTGTAGTTGAGAATTGATTGCTATTGGCAGGTCAGTGGGAAAGAGTTACCCAGGCCAGTCAGCTGCAAGGACTAGCTGTGACCACTGACCACCAACCTCCATCCTCCATGGAGGATTAGCTGTGCAAGGGTGGACAGTCATGCTCTGAAGTGGTCTATATCTGTCCACTGGGTGTGCATGCTGTGGAGTTTCCTGGGTGGTGCATGCCAAGGTCAGCTCTCTCCTGTGTTTTGTCTGGGGCCACCCTGCTTGAGCTATAAAGCAATCTGAGATGGCTACTACTTGTGCTGGGCTTGGAAATTCCCAGGCAAAGCTAAGCTGTGAATCTAGGCTGGTTGATGCCAGTGCCGTATCTGTGGCCATTTAGCAGGAGGTACCGGGGCTGGGGGCTCAGTGGGGCTAGCTGTTACTTGTTTGAAAGGATTTAGGAAGTTGTGAAGTATGAGATAAGACCACCCATTTATATGGAAAAGAAACTTGGATGAACCCATAAGTTGGGTGGGATAGAGTCTCTGGGGATTACTGAGGTGGGGCAAACCGTTAGCCAGGTTGATGGAGTCTCAAATATGGATCTGTCCTGCTGGTTCTGTGGCTCTGTGGGAGGAAGGTTCAGAAAAGTGACAATGGTTTCTGTCTGCCTTTCTGTCTGGGAGAAAGCCATACCACAGCTCTCACCTTGATGCCAGACACTTCAGTTTCTCCTTGTGTGCCAATGGTGCTTTTCAAGCTGCTACCCTGGTGCTGGAGCTCAGAGTGAGTGAATCTGAGTAAGTCTGTGTGTGTCTTTAAGAGGAACTGCTTGGGACTCCATAAGTTTCTTCCACAGATTCAATCCCCATTGGTTTTTGCAGCCAGAAGTTATGGAGACATATCTTCCTGGCACTGGAACCCTGGACTGGGATCCTGGTGTGAGGCTGGGACTCCTCACTCCAGAGATATCCTTCCTGAATTTTTAAAAAAGATTTTATCTATTTTTAAAGAGAGGAGAAAGGAGAGTGAAACGGAAACATCAATGTGTGGTTGCCTCTCATGCGCCCCCGCCCCCCAACTGGGGACCTGGCCTGCAACCCAGGCATGTGCCCTGACTGAGAATTGAACCAGAGACCCTTTGATTCACAAGCCAGCGCTCAGTCCACTGAGCCGCACCAGCCAGGGCTCCTTCCCAAATTTTTATCTATCACATGTGGATGTGGGACCAGCCCATTCCATGTCCCCCCCCTTCCTACCAGTCTGGATGGATGTGGTTTCTTTAATTCCATAGTAGTCAGACTTCCATTCAACGCAATTTCTGGTGGTGTTGAGTGATGGTTGCTCTATATTTTAGTTTTAATTAGGTGAGCCATGTTTACCTGCTTCTGTCTTGACTGGAAGTCACATTAGCTTTTTAAAATTTACAAATGGTAAAATTTCCTTTGTTCTTAGCTTTATTGTAGTACGACTAAGGAATCTGGTTTGCAGTATTTCTATTTCAAAATGCATTTGAATATGATCTCACACAAATTTGCATGTCTTCATTGCTAAAGAGCCAGGCTACCTTTTGTTTTCCCCCTGACACATTCTAATATAAGTAAAAATGAGGAGCTACTTGCCTTGTTCTAAATTGTTACTTGTAATTTACCATGGGTTAGGACACCAGAAAATATAGGGTAGGATATGTGGATTTCCTATAGAGAAAGTGCTTCAGCATTATTTCAAGTACTTTATGGCAAAAAATGTTGGATGTTCAGAGGCCAATTGTTTCTTTGGTTCATGTTATTGTTTCTGAGTTCCCTAAGATCAACACTTCCCAATATATCTTTAGAGACATTTTGTTTGAATAGTGGATCAACCAAGATCTCCAGGCTTACTTCCCACCAAGACACGGTATTGGGGTTTCTGGGATCTGGTAACACTCCACAGCTGACTAATTGTTTGACTATAGACACACTTGTCTGTGCATCAGCATCTTTCTCTTTACATGGGGGCAGAAGTGTTCTGAGTCTGATGGTCTGTGTGAACATTCTAGCTCTGACTAGGTGAGGCTAGAATGATGGTCAAAGCAAAAGGTACATGGAGAGGATCAGTGGTATAGAAGCAAGTAAGGGGATCAATAAAAGGGGGTGATCCATTTGATCAGTCTCTTCCTTTCAGTTCTGCACTGAGAGCACGTATATATGCATGCTTTATAGGTCTGCAGGTCATGGATGAGACAGGTAAATAGTCAAAGGTTTGGGTCATTTCTTTAAGATTTAAAACCTAAGCTGAGGACAAACTTGAATGCCCGAGAAACCAGTTACACCTTGCATGCTTTGCTGATATGTTTATTGATATATTTCCCCTTTCAAGTGATGCTGACAAAAAGCAGATGGAACCTCTACCCCCTCCCAATAAAATAGAGACACAGATTTCATTCAGCATATACAAGCATTGGGGCATGTCCAAATTCACCTCACTGGGTTACTAGAGCCAGGAGAAGTTGGATCTTGGGGGCAGTCGGAGCATCTGAGGTCCAGGAATCGAGTGAGCCAATGCTGAACAGAGGTTGCTACTCTGGGTCCTGCCACTGGGGTGCCAGCAGGAGCTATAGAATTGAATCATGGTAAACATAGATGCCTAACCCTGTCATGTAGTCTAGAGAGTGACAGTGGGCTCCTGGGTAGTTTCCAGTGAGTTCCACAGTCCCACAGAAATCTATGCCTCAGGGTTCTCATCTGCAAAACAGGGATAAGAATCCTTTGTAAAAGGTAAAGCTCTATACAAATTTAAGGGAATTCAATTGATTGATTGTGATTGTGAGAGTGCCCCAGGGATGAGTGGACTGGCTCATGGGTGCAGGGGTCAAGAAGGTGGAAGAATTCCTCTGGCGTGCTTTAAGTAGGCACCAATCAATGCAGGTAATGCCCATTGCAAAGCAGAGCTCCCTTAGTTCCTTGGCCTAGCACCTGGGTTGGGGCTTGGAAAGTCATTGGGGAAGTTACAGTAAGAGTCACAGGGGTCAAGGAGGGAGAAGGTGGCATATAAAGCAGGGATTATTACTATTACCACACACAAAAATAGAAACCCACTGGATGCAAGGTATTGAATTGGTAGTGCAGATGAGGGATGGAGGCTGGCATGGATTAGGGGAGAGAGAGGCATCACAGCAGCAGAAGGAGGGATATTGCTCCAAAGAGGCTCAAGTGCTATCTCTCCTCCTAAAGGGATAATACCAGTATCTATCTGCAGGGGAAGGGTGGGCTGGGAAATAGAACCAAGAATGTAATAATCTCACCTAAGGATGGCATAATCCCCCTCTCTTCATCATACTGCTGCCCAACATCTTAAGGAGATGTCAGAAAGAGGGAATCAGCTGATCTGTGCACTTTGAGGCTAAGGCCAAGCTGGGCCTAGAGGACCACAAAGGCAGTGTTAGGATTCTTGAAAAAAGCAGTGATTGTCAGAAATGCTGAGAGATAGCTTATCTGCTCATACATGGGCATAGTTGTAGGGATCTGGACACTGAAAGCCTAAGATTTTTAAGTCTGAGCATCAACAATGCCCCTTGGGGAATAGAGAGGCAGACCATTCTACTTGAAATGGACTGACAAAGTGATTCAGTGAAAGGGCCAGGCACAGAAAAAAAAAGATACTTTTAATTGCTCCTGCTGCTACTGGTGCTTTCTCCCAACTCCCTTGGCAAGGGGTGTGGGACCTCCTGGGGAAGTTGGGAGGCTGGCTTACAAGGTACCAGATAGTACCTACAAGTTAAGGCAAACAAGCCAGTAGAGCACATTGAAGAAGAAGGTCACTGGGAAAATAACTTGTGAATAGTTATCCAAGCGGTAGATGTGGATGAAAAGGTGGCCCTTCTGCCAGGTACTGCCCTCACAATTGGGGACCATACACAGGTACTTGCAGAACCTGCAGCAGCCAACAGGGCTCTGGGTGAGACTTGGGTGGAGGGACTGCTGAGCTGAGCAAGATGGGCCTTCCTCTTCCTCACTTTCTTCCTCAGTATCCTCGATCTCACACACAAAAGCATCCTGCTGCTGCTTATAGGCACAGACACGGGAAGCAGTAAGGACATGGGCACAGGTACAAGGCTGAAATGAACAAGGAAGGGGAAAAAATTCAAGGAAAGGTAAAACAAACCTAGGTGTCACTTCAGGAGTTTCTGGAGAATCTGTCTTTGGCACACAGTTTTAGCACCCCAGAATTCCCACCTTCATGTCAGAAAGTTTATTTAAATCCCCACAACATTCCAGGTTACCCCAACCACTCAGTGAGCTGGCCACCCATGGCCATGAATTCTAGTGCATGAATCCTCACTTGCATTTCTGAATATTCCAAAGTCTTGCTACCACTCCCATATCCAGCTCATACATGGCGAAGTCTCGGAGAACCATGGGTTTTCATGTGGTGGTAGGTCAGGAAGTTGAGCGTAGCAAACTCTATTAGAGCACAGAAGCAGAAGATGAAGCAAATGGCAATGTAGAAATCCAAGGCTGTAATATAGGAGACACGTGGGAAATTCTTCTGGGAATAGGAGCCCAATATGGACATGGTGAGTACAGAGGTGATTCCTGTGAAAGCACAGGAGTGGAAGCGGGCTCAGCTACTGATCCATATATCACACTCCTGAAAGGATCCCTGAGAAGGCAATTCTGTGCCCAGGTGGATGCCCACTGTACCCACTTACCTAAAGGGGTCATGGCTGGAGTAGAGTCTTTCTTGATCCAAAAGGAAATCCAGGAGATGATCGTGGTCACAGAAGAAGGGACATAGTTTTGAAAGATATTAAAGCGAAATTCCCTGCTCACATTGAAGAAAAGAGTTATGACCATGAAATCACCTGGAAGACATAAAATAATACCATTTCATTACAGCAATGATGTAAGGGTATCCCTCAGACAGGACATGCATATTAAAAGTCTCATTGTTTAGCTCATGGGATCCTTACCACAGTCTTAAGATAGAGGCATATTATTCCAGTACCACACACAGAAAATCAGAAGCACAGAAAGGAGACACCCTGAAAAAGCCATGGTCAGTTAAGAGCTAAGCCAGGACCAGAACCTTAATTGCTTCTTTCTCAGCTCACTGTCCTATACACTATGGATGTCCTTCCAGGGTATCAGAAGAGTCAGTTGACAGCGAAAAAAAATCAGCTAGCCTTCTAGATACCAGGACCACACAGGACTAATGTCCAGATGGCTGACTGGGGCCCTTACGTCCATTAAGTTACCACATCTAATCTGCAAAATCACAGCTTTACACATGCACTGCTCTCTCTTAAAATGAATGTTCTCTGGAAATAAGCCAAGGGTGGCGTGTGCTGTGGTGGAGGAAGCACAGAATCCATTAGGTCTCTTTCACATACATTCATATGCTATTGAAATGCCTTAACACTGCTCCATTGATGGCCAAAAGAAATCACTCGCCTACCCCAAACCCGTGGTTATCCCTGCTCCAGGAGAGCTACAGAATCAAGCCTACACTTTGTAATTTGACACTAAAGGACCACCATGGTCTGAGTCCTACAGATATCTGACACACATGTGCACACACCACCTTACCCTAAGCTAATTCTAACTATTCACAGATTCCCTGAAAAGCTTGCATATTTATACCAATATTCCAACCCTGGACACCCTGTTCTTAATCTATTATCCTAACACAAATTGAGTGTTCTGAAAAAACAGAAAAATAATCTGAAATTAAACATTTTTTATTTTTAAGAAGCCGATTTTTAAAATTTTTTAAAAATCATGTTTATTCTATGACAGTTGTCTCAACTTTTCCCCCTTTACTCCCGTCCACCCATTCTACCACCCCTCTCCAAGCCGACAGTCATTTCCCACGCTGCTGTCCATGGGTCATTCATACATATTCTTTGTCTAGTCCCATCCCCTTCTTTCTACCATTGTCCTCCTTGCCCCCATTGTCCTCCTTCCCCATCCCCTCTGGTCCCTTTCAGTCCGCTCCATGTTTCCTTGCCTGTGGTTTATTTTGTTCGTTAGTTTATTATATTCAATATGTTCCACTTATAGGTGAGATCATGTGGTATTTGTCTTTCGCTGACTTATTTCACTTAGCATAATATTCTCGTTTCATCCATGTGATCAAAAAAGGTAGGAGTTCCTGCCATCTTTCTTTTTTTTAAAACACAGATTGATTTTATTTATTTTTTAACAGTCAAAATCTATTATAAAATATTGAAAAATTTAAATCCATCATAAAGTCTCAGCAATTAAAACATGACACCAGCAGACAAATAATCAAGTAGATCAATGAAATATAATGAGCATTCTAGAAACAAATGTATATAAATCTCTAACAATATAATGTATGATTAAATCGATATTTCAAATCAATGGGGAACATAAGGCTCATTCAACAAATAAGGTACATGAGCCACTATTACTTGAAATAAAACAAATATAAAGCCCTATTTCATATTATATAAAAAATATTTGAGTTAAAATCAATATGTAAACTCTAAGAAGTTTTAGGAGAAAATACAAACTAATATTTTTCTTACCATGAAGTAAAATATACAAACCAAGAAGTTATGAAGTAAAATATTGACAATATGACTATATCAAACACTTAAGACTATACAGTAATATATATATTTAAAAAGTTAAAGGACAAGTAATAGAATAGGAAAGTATTTGGAACACATCTAAAAAAGGGTTAATAATTTTTTTTAGGGAAAAAATTCTACAAACATTTAATCAAAAATGGATGAAGACTACAAAAATCTCATTCGAAGCTTTCTAAAAGTAATAGAAATAGACAAGAAATATACAGAAACAGGTTTAGTTTCAACAAATAATAAAGTAACAATCAAATACATCATTGCCACACTCAGATTAAGAAGTATTAAAAATATTAGTAATATCAAGTATTGGTGACTGTGAAAGGAACTGGGTATTATTCATAGACTCTTTTTCTTCATCTTCCTAAAGCAGTCCCTTTAGCATATTTTGCAATATTGGTTTGTTGGAGGTGTATTCTTTTAGCCTTCTTTTGTCTCAGAAACTCCTTATTTAGCCTTCCATTTAACTAGAGGGCCTTGCTGGGTAGAGCAGTCTTGGTTGCAGGCATTGCTTTTCATGACTTGGAATATTTCTTGCCATTCCCTTCTGGCTTGTACTGTTTCTGTTGAGAAGCAACCTGCTAGCTGTATCAGGGCTCCCTTATATGTTACTACCTCTTTCTCCCTTGCTTCCTTTAGGATTCTGTTTTTCTTTGCTATTTGCCATTAAATTATTACATGTCTTGGAGTGGGCCTCATTGCACTCCTCTTGAATAGGACCCTATGCCTTCCTAGACTTGCGTGACTTTTTCTCTCCTCTAATTAGGAAAGTTTCCCATCATTACTTTTTCAAACAGGTTCTCTATCCCTTGCTCCTCTTCTCCTTCTGGTATCCCTATTATATGGATATTATTATGTTTCAGGTTGTCCTGCATTTCCCTAAATGTGTCTTCATTCTTTTTCCTTTTTCTTGCTTTATCTGGGAGCTTTTTTCTAGCTTATACTCAAGCTCTCAGATTTGATCATCTCCTTCATCTAGCCTGCTTTGATTCCTTCTACTGTGTTCTTCAATTCAGAAATTGAAATCTTCATTTCCTCTTGTCTCTTATGGGTAGTTTCTGTGTCCTTTTTCATGTTGATATAGTTAGTAGTAAGTTCCTCATAGTTTCCCTGTAGTTTTTAGTAATTCTCTCTGAGGTCACTAAGCTAATTGACCTTGCTTAGAACCTTTGTTGTTGTTTTCGGTTTTTTTGAACATTTTGTCCTCATTTATTTTCTTTTTTTTTTTTTAACTTTTACTGTTCAAATATATTTGTCTCCATTTTCTCGACACCATTTTCCTGTGCCCCACCCACCCCACTACCCACTCTCAATCCTTCCCCACTTTGGCTTTGTCATTGGGTCTTTTATACATGTTCATTGATTTGAAACTTCCCCTTCTTTTCCTTGTCACCCCCCTCTTTCCTTCCCTCTCGTTACTGTTGCTTTCTTCTTTCATTCAATGTTGCTGATTATATTTTCCTTCCTTGTTTTGTTGATTAGGGTGCACTTGTAGGGGAGATAATATTGTATTTGTCTTTCACTCCCTGGCTCATTTCACTTAGTACAATGCTCTCCAATTCCATCGATGCTGTCATGAAGGGTAGTTGCTCTTTCTTTCTGTTGTGTAGTATTCCATTGTGTAAATGTACCATAGTTTTTTGATCCACTCATCTGCTGATGGGCACCTAGGTTGCTTCCAGCACTTGGCTATTGTAAACTGTGCTGCTATGAACATGGGGTGTATAGGTTCTTTTCAATTGGTCTTTTCGGATCCTGAGGGTATATTCCCAGCAGTGGAATCACTGGGTCAAAAGGCAGTTTCATTTTTACCTTTTTGAGGAAATTCCAAATGGTGTTCCACAGTGGTGGCACCAGTCTGTATTCCCACCAACAGTGCACTAGGGTCTCTTTGCTCCACAGCCTCACTAGCACACATTATTTGTTGATTTGTTTATAATGGACATTCTGATCAGGATGAACTGGTATCTCATTGTGGTTTTAATTTGCCTCTCTCTGATGGCTGGAGATGCTGAGCATCCTTTTATATGTCTCTGGGCTCTATTTATGTCCCCCTTGGAGAAGTGTCTCTTCAAGTAGTTTGCCAACTTTTTAATTCAACTGTTCATCTTCCTGGAGTGGACTCATGTGATTTCTTCATATATTTTAGAGATCAAACCCCTGTCCAAGGTATGATTGGCAAATATATTTTCTGATATGGTTGGTTCCCTTTTCATGTTTCTGCTATTTTCTTTTGCAGTGCAGAAGCTACTTATTTTTATGAAGTCCTGTTTCTTTATTCTTTCCTTTATGTCCCTTGCTCTAGGAGACCTATCACTGAAAATATTGCTGCATGAAATATCTGAGAGTTTCCAGCCTATGTTCACCTCTAGGACTTTCATGGTGTCACGACTTATATTTAAGACTTTTCTCCATCTTGAGTTTATTTTTCTCTAAGGTGTCAGTGGTGGTCAAATTTCAATTTTTTGCAGGTAGCTGTCAAGTTCTCCCACCACCATTTGTTGAAGAGGCTATTTTTACTCCATTTTATGCTTCTTACCCCTTTGTTGCATATTACTTGACCAAAGTGACAAGGGTTTATTTCTGGGCTCTATTCTGTTCCATTGATCTATGTTGTTATGGCAGTACCGGACTGTTTTGATTACAGTGGCCTTGTAATATAGTTTGATGTTAGGGATTGTGATTCCTCATAGTTTATTCTTCTTTCTCAAAAGTTCTGTGGCTATTTGGAGTCATTCATGGTACCATGTAAATTTATTAAGTGTTTGTTCTATGTCTGTGAAATACGTCATTGGTATTTTAATAGGGATTGTGTTGAATCTATAAATTGGTCTGGGTATTACGGATATTTGATGATGTTAATTCCTCCAATCCATGAACACGGCATATGCTTCCAGTTTTTGTGTTTACATTAATTTGTTTCATCAGTGTTTTATAGTTTTCTGTGTACAGTTCTTTTACCTCCTTGGCTAAGTTTATTGCTAGGTACTTCATTTTTCTTGTTTCTATAGCAAATGGGATATTCTTCCTGATTTCTGATTCTGATATTTCATTGTTGGCCTACAAAAATGCCATAGATTTCAGATTATTGATTTCATATCCCACTGTTTTGCCAAATTCACTTATTAGGTTGAGTAGTTCTTTTGGTGAAATCTTTGGGGTTATTTATGTACACAATTATGTCATCTGCAAACAATGATAGTATTAATTCCTCCTTTCCAACTTGGATGCCTTTTATTTCTTTTTCTTGT